ACATGCGATAAAATAAAGCAAACCAGTAATAAAATAGAGATGAGAATCTTGCATTTACACATCATATCAAGGGTATTTTTTTAAAGTCAACACAAAACATATTCCTCCTTTAAATTTTCAAAAAGTCAAAAATGGAAGTTTATTTAGGAACGGAGGGAGTAATAGTTTGGCTACAATAAGTTATCATATCCAAATTTCTCTTATTTATTTAATGTGAGTTTTATTTTTTAATATAATACGGAGTAACATTTTTGAATAGCTATACTTATAAAAAAAAGTATGCGAGTCAGTGCAAAGCACGAGATAAAAACTAGTTGCTTCGACTCATCTTCCCCAAAAAAGTGGTAAAACAATCCTAATACGATTTGAATTTATCTTTTATCTTTTTATTTATAAAGATAAAACTAATGATATTAATAAATCTGCACTAAATAATACTAAAACATAATTTTTTTCTTAATCTAGGAATTAAACTTTTTTATTCCTTAGAGAGAACTTAATAATGTCTTAGTGGGAGGAATAATGCCCAGTAATAAATTAATAATGGACATTTACTTGAATAATGACTAATTAATAATGACCAAAAGTCCTACATTAGGAAATAAAAACATATGGGCCTATATTGGGAAACTCATTGTGTTTTAGCCCTATTTAGGTAAATTACTCATAATATTATTTGAAGTGATAAAATTTTAATATATCAAAACTAAATTTTAAAATTAATATTATGATATTAAATTTATATCATCATAAAATATATTTTTTCATAATTTGTAGTGCACTCGATCGAATATATCCGAAACCGAAATATATCCGAACCGAACTAGACCCGAAACCGAAATATATCCGACTCAAATTGTATCCGAATCAAAATCTATCCGAACCGATTTATAACCGAACCGTATCTGAACCGACTCGAAACCGAACCGAACTGAAAAATGTATAGAACCGAAATCAAATCCGAACCGAAATTTAACCGATCCGAACCGAACCGAATCGATTATAACATATAACCGAAAGATACCCGAAGCGAAAAAGTTCAACCCGGAACCGATCCGATTGATCCGATTGCCACCTCTACTCTTTAGAAGAGGACCTTCTCGGGACTTTGTGCCTCTTTGGGAGAGGACTTTTCTTTCTTTTTTAGTTCCTCGGGAAGAGGACTCGGTGCCTCTTGGAAGAGGACTTTTCTCGGGGATTTGGGCCTCTTAGAAGAGGACTTTCTAGGGACTTGGTGCCTCTTTGGAAGAGGACTTGGTGCCTCGGGGAAGAGGACTTTTCTCGGAGCTCGGTACCTCTTGGGAGAGGACTTCTCTCGGGGATTCGTTGCCTCTGGGAAGAGGGCTTTTCTCGGGGCTCTTTCTTCAGTATTCTTTGGGAGCCTCTAAACCTCCACCCGATATCTATCTGACGGTGGTTGGGCGCTCCGCTCTTATTGAATTATAGACAATCTCCGTCCACCTTTCTCTTCGTCCCTGTCCCTCGAACTGAGGGGGGCCTACTCTACTCTCTTTATAGGATTCCTTCCTTTTGGGTAGCTTGTTCTTAATGGGCTGGGCTTCAGCCCATCCTTAAGCCCCAATCCTTTTCCTTATCCTATCTTTCCTCAACCTCGGTACGGGAGTCTATGACTATCTCCAGTAATCCGATCACTTAACTTGATCTAATTACTGATCTCTACTTTCTATTCTTTTACATTATTACTTTTATCAACTTATACAACTTGGAACGGACAACCAGAGGCTTAATCCGTCCAATTGAGGGACCCGTGAA